AACTAATTGAAAAGAAATTTCTTCGCTCGATTCGTTCCTTTTTGTATTCTTTATTTCTAAATAATTTACACAGCGATTTGGAATGTATTTTTGATTATCCAAGTGTGTTACTTCATTGACTAACGTACACCGTTAATTCCTATTGAACCTTCTGAGAAATGCTATCACTGAAATATTGTGATCCTGAAAGTTTACAGCAAAATTAACATCAACAAAGATGAGGAAGAAAGACAGACTTCTTCAGCTTTCACTATACGTTCATTGATCTTGTCTATCACGCCACCACCAAAATCGGCACAGTTATTCGTATATTTGAACTTTGTGACTACTCCAAACGAACAATCATAACAAATGAGTTCAGTCACATGCTCCAATCAGTCTTATAAGAGTAATTCTCATATTGACCATTCAAAGTACATACATAAACAAAGACGCTAGTTCCTACCATATTAATTGTGTCTGGGATAAATCGTTCATTATCACACAGTAAGATTATGCTCTGTGTGATCAAGATCAAATAATTTTTCTCTAGAGAATATGTTTAAATCCACCTGTAGTTCTTATAGATTTACTGCTGATCTGAAGCCCGCTTAAAGGAGGAGGGTTTGACATGGGGTTGGAAATCCAGCCAATAGAAAAAAATATTTCTTAAACAAAGCCAGCCAGAATAAACAAATTCAATAACTTGAACTCTGAACTTTGAATTCCAGTATCTTCATTCTGAAAGATTATGACGCCTAAGGATGAAATACGAAATCCTTCGGTATTCTCGAGGTCGATGACTCATTCTAACGAAAAGAGTAATAAATTTTATAGGTGCACGAAACGTACAGGCAATGTGGTAGACCGGGAAGACCAGTCAAATACTAACGGAAATGAGGAGATACAGATCGGCAGTACTTGAAATCAGAGAAACCTACTGCTATCACCCTGCTCGAAGAAGCGTGAAATGTACTTGTAGGATAGGAATCTAATGCATCCAAAACCAACAAAACACCATTCAAAAGAAAGAAGGAGGGGATCACAATGAATGTTATCTAATGTTATGCACCAACCAATGAAAGCAACGACGACATCAAAGATCAGTTCTATTCAAGGCTGTAATAAATCATAGCTAATTACCCAAGAAAGGATCACACTATCCTGATGGACAACACCGGATATGAAGATATAATGAAACGACATGAATTTGGAGAGAGAAATGCAAATTGAGAAAGATTTGCAAATCTATATGCATTCAGAAAATCGGTTATAGGCGGCAAAATATTTACACACAAACCCATATATAAAACTGTAAGGTTGGCTCATTGGCAAGCTTAAGGAGTCCTAAAAAAGCCCGGAAAGAGCGGAAGACATTCCATTCAATCTGCGCTAGAGGAATATTGTAGAAGGACGACTTGTTGCTTCCCTAATAGATGAACAAATAAGACCCCATAAATGTCTATGGGCTGTCCGAAATGATGATTTATTTTCAGCCAAAAAACTATAAGTACATGAGATGTTTGTACTATATTCGACACTGTTTTGCGAACAACATTCCTACCAACAAGTCTTCTGTCTTCTCTCTTGTAACAATGCGGGTTCGATCTATTAAGTAGTATAGTAGTATGCGGCATAGAAAGAATCAAAGCTCTAGATACAAGGGAAAGTACATGAATCTCACCTTACTTCACCACAGAGAACCAGATAAATTATATTTGTATAAACAAAAAATTCCGGAGACAATGGAAGATGTGAGAACTAGGAGAGGAGCTGACATAGCTTCATATCACCAGCTAGTTATGGCCAAAATGAAAATGAAGCTAAAGAGACACTGGACAACTGGACAAACAGCGTTACAAATGTTCAATACAATCCTCGTTCGAGATACTAACAAACTCAACCAATTCAAGATAACTGTCAACAACACGTTTCAAGCATTACATGACCTATTGAGAGATGAAGAAACTACCATGGAGGATAATTGGAAATGAATTAAAGAAACACTAACTTCAACGTGTCAGGAGGTTCTGGGTCACAAGAAACATCATCATAATGAATGAATCTGTATGGGAACCCCGGATAAGATTGATGAAAAGAAGAACAAGAAGACAGCAATTAACAACAGCCTAACTAGAACAGTGAAAATCAAGGCACAAGCAGAGTACTCAGAATATCTATTTTCTTTGAGTCATTTTGTAGCAATCATCAACTCTTCTTCATGTCTGTTAGTGATACTGATTCTAATAAGAGATTTAATGAACGATTAACGATTATGTCGGTTATATTTTTCAAAAACTGCAAGATGGAGCTAAATAATTGATTGTTGAATGAAGGAGAACTTTCCATACTGGTCTATTTGTTTAAAATGAATAACAGATTAAAAGGATAGACTGAATAGTGGAACAAACTATTATTGGTTATCCAATTGAATTTTGCTTACTGTAATAAACGTGACTTTCATAAACCTTCACAAATTATCAGATTACTTGTAAGTAGTATATTGCAGAGATGTTATATTTTGCATTAAGTAGTTGGGATTTTACATTCAATCATAATAAATATGAACAAATAGTGATGTTAAGTCGTATGTAGGTGAATATGTTGGAGGATTTAGATCACACCTGATGTTGTGCTATCAGATACAGGAGTGAAATTAGTGTGTATAGGCATCAAAAATTATCATTTGTGTGTCTAATTCGAACAATAAGTAATCAGTCATGTGAATCTCTCATTATTTATTGTTACTAATGAAGATTCCAAGAGTAACCTGAGACCCAACCTATAATGTTGAAGTCAACGTTACATTCAGATTGAGAAATTGATGCAGAATGGTTATCTGATGAATTTCTTCAATTGACAGAAAGACTCTCATATGTTAACAACCTCCGTGAATGGATATAGTAGTTCTCCACGTTACAGATCCGTACATTACGACTGTCTTGACGTTCGTATTGAAGATTCTGACTTTGAAATTAGTTGAGAGTTGTTTTGAGTTCCATATGTTCTTCAATTGTAGAAATGCTGCTCTTTCTTTACCAATCCTCGTCTTCCTCTTACAAGCATTGCATTAAATCATGGAACGAATCGCAAAAGAACTTCTGTACACGATAAATTGTTTCAAATTTGTTTCGAATAGATACTAACATAGACATTATATATCCAAGAAAAATGTTATTCCTTTATTCGGTATGGAATACTCTTGTTCACTTTCACTCGACGTTTCCAAATTACAACCGACGGACTATCGGATTTCACGTAAATTATATAATATGGATTTCAAATTGGGTTGTCGTTTCAGTTATAAAATATTATTTCAGTGTGAAGTACTTATATGGTAACTTTAGAGTACCTAATGACCTACAAAATAACTCAGCATAAAAATATGTTACTATGTGTAAATAGCTCGGTGTCTTCAGGAAAATCCGACCCAATACAAATTAATTTACAAGACAAGGAGAATTATAGCGATGCTTGTGTATAGTACGTCGGACGACATGGAGTGATTGGGAGAGAGGAACGAGATTGCAGAGAGATTTGCAAATTTATCTAAATCCAACAACTTGTTTATAGATGGCACTACTATATTCACCCACGAATGCAAACACAAAGTTACATGAGTTTCATCGGATCACATTGCACCAAATCAGATAGATAATTTTTCCATCAATTGTAAATTCAGAACGGAAATGGAGGACGTGAGAACCAGGAGACGATTTGACATAGCTTCAGATTAACATCTATCTAGTGGTTGCCAAGATGAAACTTGTGACCACAGAAATAATAGACAACTGCACAAACACCATTACAATAGTTCAATACAGCTTGAATATAGATAGGTGATTTGGACTTCGTAGATGATCAAGCTATTCTGTAGCATGTACAGGAAAAAATGCTGGTGAAGACAGCCAATGTAACAGCAGCCTCTACATCAGTAGGCCTCAATATACACAAGAGGAAAACATAAGGATAACTAATGAAATCACACTTGAGGGAGAAACTATGAAGACGTGAAAACATTCACGTATCTTGGTAGCATCATCAATGAACAAGACGGATGTGACGCATACATAAAGGTAAGGATTGGAAAAGTCAATGCAGCATTAATATACATGGAGGACGTAAAGAACTTAAAATAGCGCTCAACCAATATCAAAGTCATAATCTTAAATACAAATGTAAAGACAGTTCAGTTATACGCATCTTAAACAGGGAGAACTACTACAGCCATCATCAAAATAATACATGCATTTATAAACAATTGCCCACGTAAGATATTCAATGATTATTGACCGCATATCGTCAGTAAGAACCTACTGTGGGAAAGAACAAACCAGCTTCCAAGTGAAGACGAAATTAGGAAAAGACTCTGAAGGTGATGTAAAATACAACAACTATCCCACAAACAATTTTGATTATGGTTAATTTTGATTAGGCCCCTTCGTTAAACAACTTAACAGACAATGTTATTTGAATAGTAACAATTCGAATATTTCTTTGTATTGTCATGATTACTAAAGCACATGACAGACTAGTTAAAATGTTGATTGCTTAAATATCATTCGGTGATTCATTCTCTTCTCTATATATGTATGTACTCAAATCCTTTCATTAGCTTTTGCTTTGTCTTCCTGTGCCTTTATAGAGTTCGACTATAAATTTGCCTATGTAACTGCTCACAGATACTTATTCTTCTCTCTGCTTCCAATTCGCTCGATGTGCATATAGTTTTGTATACTGTGCTCTCCGATAATAAACTATATTTGCCGCTCCTATTTGCCTTCTGATTTCAAACACCATTGAAGGTTATATTATAACGGTTACCGTGTTGAACAGAAGCCACTTCAAGTTTAATTATGACAGTGAAATGTATTTCAGTCCTTCATACGTGTAGAGATGAAGCTATCACAAATTATACGAGTTTGATCAAATATAACTTATTTACCATACTAACTATCGGTAAACCATCAAGACATTTTGATGGGATTTATTACACAAATCAAAGTGACCCACATGATACGAAAAGATAATCATCAGACTGACAACTTAATGTTAATTTATTCTGTGTACAGTTTGGATTGAAAATTAAAGTAAGATGGTAGACAAAATGTTAAAGTTACAAGTCTATGGGACAAGTAAAAATGTCACGTGACAGGTTAAAAGTATTTTATCAACAATAATTCGAAATTTCGGCCGCAATTCAATCCTCATCAATAGTCTTCGTTTGATCTGAACAACAGGTTTTTGGTGATCCAATTTTTCCAATTTTAGATATACAAATCATCAGAAATGAGAAAAGCAAGTAAACACCATGAATGATTCCGATACTGAAGCATAAATAGATCAGTATCACTTTATAATATTGCACAAGTATATTCAATGCATCAACGCATCCCTGTATATGTTAAATAAAAGAAACTACACAATGTTATGTAATTAAAGTGTAATTGTGAAGATACAAATGTTAAGTGCAAAGTATGCCATGGCATATTTGAAAAAGTAGATGAACCACCTCTCTGACCATAAAGAACAAAGATTTGTCGGGTTGATTTCAACATTCGTTTATGGGTCATGGAAAGTAGTCAGTGAATAATGAATAGTCGGTAAGCTTGAGATGAGAATGTTGAAAGTGATTTATGGAATTTAGTTTTATTGAATAACACGCTGAAACTCTTCTATGCAACACGTTTATCTAATTCTATATGAAGCTGTATTGAGTAAGATATGAACAGTGAATCAAAAAATCAAGTAATATGTCCACATAACTCATTCGTTCGTATCGACTATGTCTATGATGTGATTAGTTGGAATATTTTCAATGACCAAATTGATGAATGTGATCCTTCTTTGAAAGGCAGACATTAAGATATGAATGTCATAAGCCTTAAAGAAGTCAGCAATTATAGTCACTGTGGATGTATGTAACATCTCACTTAGGATAGCAGCTACTTCTACAAGCCTGAACTAGCAATAAACCGAAAAGTATATTGTAAAATCTTGTCTTGTTGAAAGAAATCTGTGGAAAGTATGAAAAGTGTCCTTCATGTAGTTTACACGATGGACTGACTTTAATAAAACAACTAATGAGAATAAGGAAACCATCGGTTATCCGTTTCGTACTAGAATGAAACACTTTAACTGTCCACATACACTTATTTATTAAGAAATAAGGGCAAAATAATGTGGTATGTTGGTGAACATCTCCCAGTATCATGAATTTATATATATGTAACTCTGCCTTTAGCTCCTCCGAGGGCTTCTGCCGGTCCGAAACATTGATAAAGGAGTAGGTTTAGGCATGGGGTTAGCGATTCCATTCCGTAGAAAACCAACTCGCTAAAAAACGTTAACCAGAAAAAATATTCGAACCATTTAAACTGTGCCCTGGGAGTTGAAGAAATGATTATGAGGTCTCATGATGAAAGCCGATTTCCTTCGGAGGCCATGGGGCTGATGCATCTTCTAACAACCAGAGCGACAATTTTTATAGGTACATAGAATGTTCGGACAATGTAGAAGATCGGAAGAGTCTTCCACATTGCTGCAGAAAAATTAGATATACATGCCATTTGTTCTCACTCTTCCAGAATCATACTCCGAAAATATAAAATATTTTTAGTTAATTATGCTTAATTCGAATAACTTTTGAAAGTGGCTTTGATTACCAACATCAGAACTCAATGGAACTTATGGGTTGGCAATACATATCTGATCTCTAGTTCTTGTGAAATCTCTCACCACACTGTTATTCAAAGTGGGTTTTTTTTGTAAACTTTCGTCCTATTAGGGTGTCTTATTTTCCAGTCCTTATCCTGTTTCCTACTTCATAAATTGACGTATATTGATTTTCAGTATAGAATTGTAAAGATTGGTGAGTTTTGATTGAGATCATGAATCGATCAATGTTAGACCACCATTGAAAACTTGGCAGCATTGGATGATCCTTTCGTCCTAGTATATTTATTTGAATATACATAAAATCAAATTCAGATAAATAGAACAACGTTGACAAGATTGATGTATGTAACATGGAAGTGAGGTACTCAGGATGTTTACTTTCAGCATCTGTAAACTTCACACTGAACATTACAAATATACAACGGTCATGTGGTTCTGGATAGTTGTGAAAGCAATAGTAATTTACTATGTCGTTATGATCAATCGATTTGTTGAAAACAGGATGCATTATGAATGTGAACAAAGCTTAGTAAATCTTAATGTAACTGGCTAGTTCAAGCAATGGACATCGCTTGGTTATTGTTGCATGGATATCATTCTATCTTTGTTGACAATAACGTGCAGAGATGTCTCATCAAACATTTATTCAGAAATTGATCTATTTCATGTTGAATATCTCTCCTAACCAGGGACTTCCTAATGCCTTCATATATATTTAGAGTGTTTTCCAACAATCAAATATTTTCATAGTTGAAGTCATGAGTCCGTTGAAGCTAGACAACCATGAAAAACCTGGAAGCACCGGGCGGCCGTTTCGTCCTATTATGGGACTCCTCAACAATGCACATCCACGATCCCGCACTCGCGAGATTCGAACTCAGGACCTACCAGTCTCGCGCCAGAGCACTTAACCGATAACAAGACGAAACAGTCGTCCAGTGCTTCCACGTTTTCCATGGTGGTCTAGCTTCAATTGACTCATGATTTCAACTATGAAAATACTAAATTCTCCAGAAAACCCCTTCTGATCTATAATCAAATGTTTACTTACCAGTGAATATGGTTTTATTCCAGATAAACATGAAGTCGGTATTAGTTGTTTGACGTGGAGATAATCATTAGATGAATCTGCACCACAACAATGAAACTATATTTAAAGGAATTAACAAATCTACCGATGTTTTATTCACCTACTCTTATTTGTAAATTATCAAATTCTATTTGATAACAAAGATTTGTCCAATATTTTTGAACACTCATATTCAACGAACGATGAGCTTCAGTGAAGAACTGTCAACGTGAAATTGATTAAGATTCGTCGGACGAAGTCGGATTTGAACTCACTTGATCTTTCATTAACGTGGATGATGTTGCTATGCCTATTTCAATAAGCATTACAATAGTCAGAGTAAACAGATGCTAAACGTAAATGTTGGGATGAAAATACACCATAATCATTCATTGGTTACCAGATACATAATCATGTTTCTTTCATTCAATATTCCTAATATACCAATACATGCAGCTAATATACTGAGACTTCCTGAGAAAGTAGCCGTTGGAAAGATGGGTGGTATGGTTGCTTGCAATATCCTCTTATATCCAAATAGTTTACTTGGTAGTTTCATACCGAATGCAATCACAATCATGCCAAATGTCTATATTACATAATAATAAAGAATGAAGTGAATATAACAGAAATGAACATTTCACTTACAATGAAAATACAGTTGAAGAAAACGATTAGTTTTGTTGAATATCGTCCAAGTATTGGCAAATTCATAGTTTCTAACTGAATGATATTGTAAGGGATCGCTTCAAGAGTTTCGTTTTCTTCTAGTTGACTGATTTTTACACTGAATCCCGTTTAGCTTTAATTATTGAAATACCGCAGGCTTAAAATAGGACTCCATAGATAGTTGTGTCATTCATTTTTTATTTCCAACTAACATATTTTGAGTACAAAGGGTGAAAAGGAATGAATTAAGCCTACGCATAATAAATGAATAAGCTTTTGATGGATTGATATGTATACAGTTATGTGTTATGTAGATAATTAATGAAGCAATTCACTATGCAAAACATTTGTTGTATTTGTATGCTTACACTGTCTCTGCTTACAATACATGTGACCACCAAAAGGAATCTAGTTTTTTTCGATTTCAAATATGTATTCTGGTTTTAAGGATAACAATAATCATAAATACAATACTACTTAATTAGGTAATTGATGAGCTAAAACATGTTTCTTAAGTCAATCAAGACTAAACGACGATTGTTTGATTACCATGCTGTGTGTTATATCGATTGACAGAGTGCCTTGTTATTATATATGACGTGATATGACCGCCTATCAGAGAGCAGCCAGTGATGCACAAAACCGTATGAGCAATCTTGAGTACTCGTCAATCCTGCTTTCTGTCTAGCTCAGCCAGTTAAGTCCAGAACACCGATAACAGCCTCTGTAATATGAATCATTATTCTCAAACATACTGGGGTTTATATACCAAACAAACTGACCACATCGTACCATAAAGTAAGAGAACAACATTGGTACAAGATTTGGCCAAATGTGGCTGTGAAAAGGAGAAACAGTAATCAATAGACTAGGTATAACTCAGTAATGGTAAATCGTATAATAATAGTCTATAGGTCACAATAAAGCTTATTATAAGAGGGACACGCATGTGAATAGTTTAGTTACTTAACAATTATACAATACGAAATAAACATATCATATTAGTTTATAAATAGTTCTCAAAGTTACCATTCATAAGTCTCCACGGGAAATAACACTTTGTATTCATTGAATTATAGGTAAACCAACTGCTCAGTAGATAAATCTTCATTTTACAATGTCCAACTGTTAAATATGAAACAAAGCCCTTTATTTATTGATACATAGATGTAATTGAACTTAGATACTTATTTTGCAGCATTTTCAACTTTTTATCACAAAGATCTAACCTCAAACTTGATGAGACAACGAAATCATGAAGCGATATTTTGTTCACTACTGATTGAATTCGAGAAGCAATTTCTAGATTTCTTCTGAGAATCTCTGACTATTTGGGCTCAACAGTTTTGGGTATAAAGAATGTATTCAATGTAGACTCTGGAACATTGTCTTAATACGAAGCATAATGGCTAACAGTGCAATTTAGGACGCTCGTTTTGTCCTATTTATGATATTTCAATTAGAATGAAAACGGATATCTTGCGATGCAAAAAGCAATAATGTGACTACACATCACATAAAAAGGTTTAGTCGAAGATTGTTTAATGTGGAGAGTGATAAGAATTTCAGTTGACATTACACATTGATCATTTCAGCAATAAAAATTTCATCTTACAAACCATTCCAAGTACACATACTACAATTCGAAAAGTGTTTACTTTAAAAAGACGAAAATCATTAGAACTTTATGATATGTTAGAGCAATAGATTTCGAACAAATTGACAACACATACGCCTGTTCAGATTATTATTCACATGTAAAAATAGAAGATGGATAGTGGATAGCAGTGGAATCCAGGACGCACGTTTCGTCTTATTTGAGACTCGTCAGCTGGATGTATCAGCATCTCAAAGTTGATCTTCACTCTGGGACTCGAACCAAGTACCTTTCGCTTCAAATAGTGTTAATTTAATGTCAGTTATTTATTTATTCTGAAGAAGTGGCTTACAGTGAGCTCCGAAACGTCTGAAATACAATTTCTGTACTCATTGTGATATAACAAAAAATTCGTTTACAATTAACTTTCAACCCAATGCTCAATTGGTTTGAAATTATCAAGTCCAACCTTGGTATTGATACCTATATTGTTAAAATGTTCCTATGCTATGTATTCTTTCAATGCCTAAGATTTAAATAAATTTTCGCAGAATGACATCATTGCAATAAGTCTATTTTTAGTCTAAGTCTATTTGTCATGTCTTAAAGTGTCAATCATTAGTGTTGATGTTCGCTCTGGGATTCGAACCCAGTACGGTTCGCTTCAAATGCCATCGCGTTATCCACTCAGCTACTTAGTCCTGATAACCACTTGCTTGTGCAATGGGGTGGAGTTTGAATTCACTTAGTATTGTTTGTTTGAATCTTCCCAGCTGACGAGTCCCAAACAGGACGAAACGCGTGTACTGGATTCCACTGCTAGCTACTATCCATCTTTGCTTATAATGCTTTTGAATTAAGGCTATATCGAATCAGTACGTACAGTATACACATATCGCCAATAAGAGACTGACCAGTTGCAGTCTTAAACATCAATGGGAAGATTCAAACAAACAATACTAAGTGAATTTAAGTGACAATCGTTGAAAAACTTTTCTTTGATCAATAAGTAGATGTACTTTTGACTTGGTCATGTTTGTTTAATCAAACAATGAACAGTCAAATTTAATTAAATACTATTCATATTGCTCATGTATTCGATTATATACTAATAAAAGTACTACCAGTACTTGTATTGCAGCAAACGAGAACAGAAATGGGAACAACCGGATACATTCAACCTCAACTGTACAGACTCTCTTAGTAAAATCTGAGAACTAAACAATAATTACTTTCTTTTGCAAAATGTCAATCAATTGTCTCAGACTTGATTTTTCTTTAGTTTCCATATCAATCATTCACTGTTTTCGTTTCCTTCTCTTCGATCTTTCTAAACCTTTTACCGTCAGGTATTTCATTTTCGATTTATGACACATACTACTTATATCTGTCAACATTAGTAGCACACAACACATTAATACCACTACTACTATAACTAATATTGATCAGAATATATTAGTAAATAAGGCATTCTTCTTTATCTAATTTACTCAAATAAAAGAACAGATTTTTTATCGTCTAGTATATGCAATGACGCATTGTAAAATTTTGCACACGTCACGAGTTACTTTATTTTCATTTATTATGGTTTATCCATTTGTTTAAATTGTTATTGAGATTATTGGCTTTAGCTGGAGCTCAAAACAATTGTCAGCCAACACCAAGGTTAGAATTTTCAATACAAATGTCAAGACAGTTCTTCTGTATGGGGCGGAGACTTGGAGAACTACGAAAGCCATTATCCAGAAGATACAAGTGTTTATTAACAGTTGTCTACGCAAGATTCTTCGGATCCGTTGGCCAAACACTATCAGCAACAAGTTACTGTGGGAGATAACAAAGCAGATTCCAGCCTTAGGAAGAAATCAGGAAAAAGCGCTGGAAGTGGATTGGGCACACTTTGAGGAAATCACCTAATTGTGTCACAACACAAGCACTCACATGGAATCCTGAAGGTCAAAGTAGAAGAGGAAGACCAAAGAACACATTACGTCGAGAAATAGAGACAGATATGAGAAGAATGAACAAGAACTGGATAGAACTAGAAAAGAAGGCCCAGGACAGAGTGGGTTGGAGAATGCTGGTCGGTGGCCTATGCTCCATTGGGAGCAACAGGCGTAAGTAAGTAAGTATGTAAGTAAGTAAGTAAGCTTGATATTATTGAAGCATGTTATTTCTTCAGTAATAAATACAAAATTAGTTTATCACAAGGTAAACCCTTTGGGAATAAACGTATCAAGAGTGGAACGATTATCCGTTTAACGATATTTTTGAAATGATAGTTCAAAGGTGATTAAAGTTTGATACCACTCATGGAGGAGCATAGACCAAACACCAGCATAATCCATCCAAATCTGTCCTGAACAATACTTTCCAATTGTTTACAGTTGTTATTCATCATTTTCATGTCTACTTCTAATACACAACGTAGTGTGTTCTTTGACCTTACTCTATTCCGTTTCACTTCACGATTCCAGGTAGACACTTGTCTCGTAATGCAGTTTTATGATTTACTCATTGTGTGTCATTATCCACTTCAAACTTTTTTTTCCTAATTTCCTCTTCAGGTGAAGGTCGGTTTGATCTTCCCCACTGTAAGCTTTTGGTAATGACATCCGATCAACTGACATTCAGTATCATAAGTAGAAAATTGCTTATTAATACTTGTAATATTTTGATGATGGATAAAGTAGTTCTCCAGGTTCCAGATCCGTACAGATGAACTGGCTCAAAGTTCGTATGGAAGACTATGACTTTGATATTGGTTGGGAGTCGTTTTGAGTTCTATATGTTGTTGAACTATAGAAATGTTGTCCTGGCTTAGCCAATCCTCGCCTTCACGTCTTCATTGGATTCTCATTGTTCATTGATGATGCTACCCAGATAAGTGAAACGTTTCACATCTTCCAGAATTTTTCATCAAGCTTGATTAGGTCTCGTGTTCTCGGTGTTGTATTCGAGGATCTCGCTCTTTTCTTTGTTTGTTTCAAGGTCCATTGATCCAGAGACTGCTGCGACTGCACTGGTTGCCTTCACCAGCATTTGTTGATGTATATAGGATATAAGAGCTTGGTTATCTGTTTATTCCAACTCGTTTAATTGCATCGAATCTGTCCATTGTAATTCGTAACTTTCCTCAGATGTGTAGGTCTTCATAAACCAGTAGACCACCAGAAAGAAGAGGAAGGTAGAGAGCAAATCTGACTACAATGGTCACTTGGAATGCATCTTTCAGCAGTCTTCCAAGATGATATAGCTTGTAAAATAGTAAATCCACGTATACAAAACTCTTCGGAACGTACACGCAATGCTTCAAGCTAATGTCCTAATTTCTTCAGTCGGCCAATACTGATTTCACCAAATAAGGTTGAATTGCCTAGTTCCTCTGTTTCTATGTTTATTTACGATTCCAACTGCTCCTGAATAGCTAGTTCTACTGGGCGCAAAGGTAGACAAAAACATCATCTTATTTCTCAAGATCATCATTTATGGATGTCCGAAAGACAAAAAAAACTGGTTGATATTGGTCATCACATAGATAAAGATTCAGAGTTTAAAGTTATTCATAAAATTCCACCAAATTCACCCTATGGCTCAAGAGACATAGCAGACACAACGTTTACTGGATGTATTTCTGACTTGCTAAAGGATTGCAATCAATTATTTGAAAGTTGGATGGTATGGTCAGTTATTCATATATATTATATTTCAAAAGTAAACATCTTTTTTTCTAAGTATTTTCACAAGTTCACATAACTACGGGATAATAGAGCCCAACAATTGTAGAGGTTCTGATCATCCATCAGTTTTCGTTCAACCTCATCAGTTTTATATTTATTATTACTTTCCTTTAGAGCGCTTATTTACTGCTGTTACTCCATAGAATGAGGTAGCAATATTACCTTTTCACCCCAGGATAACAATGCCAACAACTTCATCTAGACGAAGAAATGCTGAATCATTATATCGTAAAAGATAGTTTAATTGAAATTTATGTGTTTTTAAAAGAATTCTTATTGCAGAGCATTTTGTATTTATGTATTGGTGGCAGTAGTTAGCAACCATCTATTTCAGTTGTTCTAAATTCTTTCCGAAACTTTTCGCTAAATCAGTTATTTTAATGAGAAGTCATGACCAGTGGAGCTAATCCATGTCAGGTAGAGACAGGTATATACCTCAGTACAATGGAATATGGTCGCGTGATTTTGTGGATTGGTTGAGGTTAGACAATAATCGGCTCAGTGGTTTATGGGTTAAGTGCTCTGGCGCGAGACTGGTAAGTTATGGGTTCGAATCTCACGAGTGTGGTATCGTTGATGCGCACTGCTGAGGAGTCCCACAATAGGGCGAGACGGCCGTCCAGTGCTTCCAGGTGTTCCATGGTGGTCTAGCTTCAATTGACTCATGATCTTAACTATATAAAATCAGTTGTTTGTTTGATGGGGCTATTGAATTATGCTTTTTTGTACATGTCAATTATTATCAATGTCGAAAAATCTAGGACCGAGCGAATATATCTGCCTATTTAGTAACAAGTGTAAACTAATTCTGTCATCGAATTATTTTATTTATTAGCTATTAATTCATTCGACTCAACAAAATACTCGATAAACCACATATGACTACTGGTTTATACTGAATGATCCTTGATTAGTAACCAATGACATAATTGTCCAATTACTTTTTGTTAATCTAGTCCTATAAATCAAATTCCAATGTGGTCAGTAGTCTAAATTACTCAACATCACGTCCTCTGTATTTTGATATTGGGTGGTTGAGGGACGTAGACTTGACATAGGCTTTGTGCTAGTAGGTTTATAGGAGCGATAGTGAGATCTTAACGAAACCGCAGATCCTCGTGAAATTCGAATCCGCGTCACCAATTTTCACATTCAGAGGTGCTAACTTTGATCTACCCAAGACGTATATATACAACATAAAACTAGCCTTGGAAAACGTTACAAAATAGCATGTTAAAAGACCAACAGATCAATAGCATTTGAGATTTTCTCAAGTTTGAAATACGACATGAAGGCGAAAAGTGCGCTTCTGGAGCGAAGACAAAGAAATTCAAAATTTCAAAATAAAATTACAAAGACAATGTAGTTAGCTAGTGAGTTTTGGCGACCTAAGATCCCCAACAATTAGGGAGGTGGAACGATTGCCACAGACAGACTAGAAAGAAGGACACCACATCACGATATCTAAAATCGGAGACCTCAGCAAATGTTAAAACCAAACAGGCATCACACTAATATCAGTATCAGGAAAATATTTCAACGGTGTCGCCAAAAATCCAGTAGACAGTATAGCTTCGAGAACAACAGACTGGGTTCCGTAAGGATTAGTCGTGTACAGACCTAATCGCGATATCACGGATCACCATTGAACAATCAGTTGAATAGAACTCGTCAGTATATATCAAAATTTCCAATTATGAGAAAGCGTTTGACAGTATGGATATGAAAACATTATGGAACTTTCTTTGTCTTTATGAACCGAGTATCTGAGAAGATCATCAGCATCATGGAGAATTCATACAACGAACGAAAGCGCGAAGTCGTGCATCGTGGCCATTTGACAGATTTATTCCAAGTGAATAATGATGTTAAACAAGTCTGCCTACTCCCTGTCTCTCTTGCTTTTGTCACTCTTCTTCAGGCAACTAATGCTTCCTGACGGATTCGATTCCGTGTCACTCACCTTCACATTCAGATACATTACCACTGAGCTATTCGAGCCGCGACTAAACTCATGTAGGACTGAGATGTATTCACGATTGACTTATCACTGGGTGGTGATCAATGTCATGCATTGCAAATCCTTCTTATTGCTGATCGAATATTGTCGATCAATTGAACGTGTTGGATCACAATTCTATACACTTCTGTGTGATGAGGAATCTAAGAAAAATGATGTGTTTATTTAAATTGCTTACCTATATGAATCATGTGATGATTTTTTTTAAAAAAAAATTTCTTTCATAACACGTACACATCAAAATCAAATATACTAACAATGTAAACATACTTACATTAATAGTAGGGGAGACAATAATATTTGCTACATTTATCATATTCCAATTAACCTGAGATTATAAATATACCTCAGAGAAAACATTTTTAAAACAAAAAAAGAACTCGATCGATAAGTTATGATACATCTCTTAGAATTATGTATTAAAAAGGTAATTACAATACAATGGTTACCATGGCAACTACAGCAACTTAGAAATACTAATGGAATGGCATTTATTGAAGACTCATTCAATATATAGTCATAATATAGTCAAAAATATGAGTTGAATAATAAGTAATAGCCGTCTTATATGTTTATCGTCGGTAATATTAGTTCATGTATTTAGCCTAGAAACAAAAATAGTGATAGAATCAAAATAGAATGAAAAGAACAAAAAACAAATGGTATTTTTGTCAGTTTTTGTTTTCTTTCCTTTGCCATAATAATAATGATCATGATCTTTAATGGTATATAATGTTTATGCAGAGAAAGCAATTCCATCATCAGATTTACGAATCATCCAAATTGAGATGCCTAAATAGACACCTTGAAGAATAGCTGTGAGAAAACATAGACCTATTAATATATTTGAGTATTGTTGTGCAAAACCAGCTATTTCTTCAATACAACCCTGTAAATATAAGAAATAGTGTACAGAAAATGTGATAAATTATGTATAGAGAATGAAACTGATTGGACTAAATAAACTAGACACTAAATTCACTTGATATTGTTTGTTTGATACTTCCCATGACGGCAATTGATCAGGCTCTTCTTGGCATATGTACATATTGTGCGTCTCGCCTCGATATAGCCTTAATTCACAAGCATTATAAGCAAAGATGGATAGTGGCTAGCATTGGAATCCAGTGCGCACGTTTCTTTCTATTTAGGACTCGTCAGCCGGATGTATCTCAGAGTTGATGTTTACTGTGGGACTCGAACCCAGTGCCGTTCGCTTCAAACGCTATCGCGTAATCCGCTCAGCTACTAAGTCCTGATAGCCACTAGCTTGCGCAATAAGGATGAAGTGTGAATTCTCTCGGTAATGTTTGTTTGAATCTTCCCATTGATGTTTAGGACTGCGATTCATCAGTTTCCTATTGGCATATGTGTATGTTGTGCCTATTGTCTCAATATAGCCTTAATTCACAAGCATTATATTACTTGTGAAGATTCAACCAAACAATACTAAGTGAATTTAAACTTCAATCCATTGCACAAGCTATTATTATTATTATTAGCTTTATTCAATATTATATCATTTGGTACAAAATCGAATTCTCAGCATAAAGTATTTCAGCATGTTCACGTTTCTTATTTCTTCGTTGTTCCTGATGATAAACATTCAGTGATCGCCAGTTGGTTGTCAGCAGTTCAGTCAATCGACATATGAATAAGGTATATTCTTTTTGCTGCATGTTCCCAGCAAACACGACATCTCTGATTAGGCCTTTTGTAACCTTTACAGTGAAAGGTTGTACAGTTTTCAGAAACGCATCTGAATACATTATGCGATTAATAGCCATAATGATGCATTAAAACAAACAATATTAGACAACTTGTTGAAATATATAGATGACGGGAAACAGGTAGCCCAGATGTTTAAGCAGGCCGCTATTAGGACTATCAGCACTCAGTAGCTAAGTGGGTAACGGGATGGCGTTTGATGCGAACGGTATTGGGTTCGAGTCCCAGATTGAACATCAACTCTGAGATGCAGGTATATTCAACTGATGAGTCTCAGACAGGACAAAACGTGCGTCCTGGATTCCACTTCTAGCCTCTATCCAGCGTTGCTTATAATATTTAATATGATTCCTGAAACTGAAACCGAATCTCCGATCAAAATAGCTTATAAAGATATATCCAAAGATGGCTGAATACATAATGTATAGAAAAGACATATATTAAAGCGTCATGAAAAGCAGTAAAGTGTGACGTGTTCAATCATAATGAGTTCATTATTTATAACATTGGCGTTTGTTTTTTTAGCTTCATAGCTTCAGTAACATGACAATTTCATCAGTTTAAGCATGGATACCTTAACAATTAGTCAAATTTTAGATTTACTTATATGTATCAAGTTGAATGATCATTGTGTTTCATAAATTTGAGAATGAAGATCCAATACTCCATTTGACAAAGATGGATCACAATCTTAAGAGATATAACTTATGAAGATTAATTTCGGTTCATATGTAATGTAATGAGTTTCTCACAACATATACAAGCAAAGATGGATAGTGGCTAGAAGGGGAATCCAGGACGGGCGTTTCGTCCAAATTGGGATTTGTCAGTTGGATGCACTGGCATCTCAGAGTTAATGTTCACTCTGAGACTCGAACTCAGTAACTTTCTCTTCAAACATCATCGCGTTATCCACTCAGCTACTGAGTCCTGATATCCACTTGCTTGTGCACTATCCATCTTTGCTTATAATGCTTTTGAATTAAGGCAATATCGAGGCAATGCACGCAGTATACATATATGCCAACGAGAAACTGACCAGTTGCAGTTCTAAACATCAATTGGAAGTTTTAAACAAACAATACTAACAGTTTAGTAAATAATTTGATCAAATTACACTTAATTAGTACTGAACATACCTAGAACTAAACAGCAAATTTCACCTCTACTTAATACATAAAATAGACATTAAAGTAGTAAGCATATTTCTATCTAAATTAGACAACTAGCCATAAATGTTTAATGCGGTTTACAGTTATGTTCACATTGGATACATGTATCAGTCGAATTCATTCAGTGTGCAAATATTTTTTTTCGGGGGTGGGGGTGGCGTTTCACTTTCTCAACTAGATATTTTGATCGTGAAGCCTTCACTGAACTTCTAAGAATCGTCAACACAAACTTCAACAAAGTAATCCATCTGAGCCACAACTCTTCTACGTTATCTCAATACACAAGTATTAATAGAATCTTATTAATCACCCACCAATACATTCGAAGTTAAGAGGTATAACTGGAAAACAGAGTTTAAAAGTTCTAAATATATTCAAGCTACTCCTGTATAACGACTTTACTCACTGTAACCATGACTATTCAACTCTATATGAACAGATCCCTTTGAAAACTTGATTTATAGGAGTAATACTTTATACAGTTAATTATACCTACAATTAATTGATTCATAATCAATAACTTGAAATCATTATGTGGTTAATGCTCAGGTTAAATGTAGGTGATGTGAGTAATGACGACTAAACGACTGATATGGCTATGAATCTTTGCTTTGATATCTGAACCTCTAAAAGTTGTTAATAATGTCGTTTTAGAATAATTATTTTCCGGTAGCTTAATTATTCACATGTTCGTCGGTATATCTATTGTTTGTTTTATTAAATTAATTCTAAGCTATGGAGATTAAATAAATGTTTTAACTTACTGTTAGGTAGATTGAATGCATGGTAACATTCTTAAAGTTTGATAGATTCGAAGGTGTTTTGCGAAGATTTAGTATTTTCATAGTTGCAAGCGTGAGTCAATTCAAGCTAGACTACCAAGGAAAACGTGGAAGCACTGGACGGCCGTTTCGTCCTATTGCAGGACTCCTCGGAAGTGCTTGCAACTATTAAAATACAAATTCAGTTGATCAGATCCCAATACCAGTAATCTAAATGTTATGGCATAATGTGTACTAAAGATATTCACATAGATTATTTAATTATTTTAAGTTATACTACTAATCAGAAGGGGGTTTTTGTGGAGATTTTAGTAATTTTATAATATTTGAGATCATGAGTCAATTGAAGCTAGACTATCATGAAAAACCTGGAAGCACTTGATGGCCGCGTCGTCCTATTGTAGGACTTCTCAACAGTGCGTATCCACGATCCCACCTCGCAAGATCACTGAAATAATCAGAACTCGAAATATAAAACAGTATTTTGAATAGTTTTGCAATCGGTGGTAAATAGGGGGGGACAATTTTGATAAAAAGTATTATGACAAGCAAAGACTAGGTCAAATTCACGATAATTGAAAGAAGTACAACAACGACATAGCTTTATAACTCAGTATTCTATCACATTTTTAGTATATGACTGATTGATACTTTATATGATGAAATCCAGCGTTTAGTTTACTGATCGTCGATGATCACACAGATCTTTCTATATCAGATAAAAAGTTAACAATAAGCCAAGCTATGAACGTCGTATCTTATTATCGAGTATTTGGTATTAAATCAATCAAGAAAGTTGTAATGAGGTGATGAAAAAAAGGGTGATTGATTTATGAAACCATTATAGTATATATATATATACATATTGACTTACTGTTGCATAGGTCAATTCCCGAACTCTACAAGACGGTGGTATCTTCATGCTATATTGTACATAATCTTTGTACGAGGTAGCTCCACAACAATAGAACTATAATAAAACAATAATAATTTCCAAAAAATCATAATGATTCATTCAATTATAACCTACACTAGTCTGTAAGCTATCGAATTCCGCTGAATATGAAGTTTGATTATAATTTGATATAGAACTAAGCAACGATTGTTGTACATCTGATGCATACTACAAAAAAAACACATCATGAATAAATCTGTTAGAGTATCCTTGTATGATTAAACTAACTTGATCTTGTGTAGCAACTGCTGCAATAGCAATACATATATTCACAAATGTTGCTATACCCAAACCAATCATATGCTAAACATCAAAGGTTATTATTATATATCTTAATTTACCACAAAAGCAATCATTTTCATTTTTTTCCATAATCCAAGAAATCCAACACTTGATGCTATAATTCCAACTAATCCTGTAAATATAACAGTTCCAAAAATTGCTGGTGGTGCCACTTGTATAATTGTACTATATTTAAGTAATGTATCTAATGCACTAATACCTAGTGCAAACATAATAAAACTGAATACCTTTTGAGAGAAATGGTTAGGAAAAAAAAAATTCATTATGATACTACTTACTATAAATAAACTATTCACTACAATAAAGATTTTTGTCCATACTTCCGCAGAAAATGAGAGTTTCTTCATGTTTTTTCAATTATCTAATCAACGAAAAAGAACAGAAGGAATTATCACTGTTGCTATGCAATTTTAATATGAATCTATAATTTTGACTAAGAAAAAAATATAAAGAAACTGATTCATTTCATATTAAATTTCATTAATATAGTAATTCATTGAAGTGTGTGTGTGTGTGTGCGGGGGGTGGGGGTGGGGGTGGGTGATTATATAGATATATATACATTTTGACGGGTAATTTATGCACATTCATGTTACTTGTTTTTGTCTATCCATTGATATGTTGTCAAGTCAATGGTAAATGAAGGAAATTATTTTTTTGGAAAATAAAAAAAAAGTAAAAATGATTATATTATATTAGCCTACACAATGGTAACTAAGATACCGTTGATATATATCTATATATACGTAATCAAAGACATATAACTTTACTACTTAATTAATATAAGGTAATATATGTCTATTATTGGAACACATACATTCATAATGAGAATCAAAATATGCATTCAATTCTTCTTAGATTTTATATTTAATTAATGATGACATCAATGAAAATGTGACTTTTTTTTTGTTTTTCCAATCAATTCCTAATCATAAACTTCAGTATTGCTTATGATACATGTAGAGTTCAGTGGGCATATAGCCTTGTATTGTGTACACCGTCGGGATGAAGCAAGAGCGTACACGTTGATACTTAAAAGATGATAAACTATGCTTGTAAAGATTGAAGACATAGGAATTTCTGATGGTGGTGGACCGTAGCGATGGTGACATCCAAATCGATCGTATAACGTGAGTGTAGGGGTGAAGGAGTAATCGAACAATCTAGTAGCCGGTTCCCTCCTAAGTTTACCTCACGATAGCTGGCATTCTGAGAAATAAACAGTTTTATATGGTAAAACGAATGGTTAGATGCAATGGAGTGAAATCATCTTCAACCTGTTCTCAAACTTTAAATGGGTGAGAAGCTTAAGTCGCTTGATTGAAGTTTTGTATTGAATTTGAGTGCCGTGTTGGCCACTTTGGTAAGCAGAACTAGCGCTGTCGGTTAAGGTGCCTAACATGACGCTCATGAGATACCACAAAAGGTGTTGGCTAATCTAGACAGCATGTCGGTGACCATGGAAATCGAAAACCACTAAGGAGTGTGTAACAACTCACCTGTTGAAACAACCAGCCCTGAAAATAGATGGCGCTTGAGTGTTGGACATGTACTGGCGATCGATATATTAATTATTATTATTATTATTATTATTAATGGCTTTATTCAATATTATAATCTGGTACAATATAGAATTCTCAGCATATGAAAAAAAAAAAAAAAAAAGGCGGCCTGCTTGAATACCTGGGCTACCTGTTTCTGCCATCTAAATATTTCAACAAGTTATCTGGGTTTTTTTTTAATTTGTTTTAACCTATCATTATGTCTATTAATCGCATAACCTACACAGGCGCGTTTATAAAAAGCTTATGTCCTTTCGCTGCAAAAATTACAAACAAGCACAATAAGAGACATCGTGGTGGTTGGCAATATGCTTTAAAGAGAATAAACATCAATCAAATGTCGATTCCCGAGCTACTTAACTCTAACTGTCGATCACTAATTAACAAGGTGGACTATCTCCAATTTCTGCTAAGTCAAAACATGTATCGTAATTGTGGTGTCATCACAATTCAAGAATCTTGGTTAACTGACTTACAGGATGATTGCTTAGTGTCATTACGTGATTTTAATATCTATCGTCAGGATCGATCAAACAATAAAAAGACTTGTGGTGGCGGAGTAGCTACTTTTGTAAACGTTAACTGGTGTCGATCTACTTTTGCCTGTTTCAAGTTTTCAAACGACTTTATTGACTGTCTAACTTTAAGGTGCCGTCCAAAACACCTGAATAAATACAAATATATTTATGTTACCAATATCTACATGACTCCAGACTGCACATCATCTGCGCTATCTGTCTTCACTGATAAATTTACTGAATTCGCCGTTACTGCCTTCAGTGATTCACTTTCAATTGTATGTGGTGATTTCAATTCATGTGACTGTAGCTTCCTTACATCACTAGGTCACCTAAATGTAGTAGATTTTCCTACTCGTTTGAATGCTCATCTAGACTTGGTTTTCATTAATGATGTGGGTGCCTATGTGACTCGCAAACGTGCTCCATTGTCTAGTTCGGATCACTGTATAATTCGTGTCCTGCCTAAAGTATATGGTAAACATGGAAAGAGTACACACATACTCCATACCAAAAAAGTAATATATAGGAGTTACTCAGAAGAAAATTTACAAAATCTGAAAAACATGTTTCGTACGACCAACTGGGAAGTACTTACAGATGACTCAATAGAAAACACAACGGATGTCATCACCTCTTATCTTAAATTCTGTTTTGATATTTGCTGTCCTACCGAAACCTTCTTTTTAAGTTTTGATCGACTTACATCTCCACAACTAAAACGACTACGGAGGGTAAAAGAAAGGATGTACAAGGAGAAAAACACTATTGAAGTTCGTAAGTTAAATGATCAAATAAACCAAGAGATTAGACGTCTCAACTGTGTGTTCACTCAAAAACTCCTATCTTGTAGAAGCTCTCCAAGTATGTGGAAACTCTTTAAAGAAATTACAGGGGACAGGCAGACTAGAAGCGAAAACCAGCTAAATGTTTGTGACTTAAATAAGTCCTTTATTCATCAGTCATCTGACATCATGCTCCCTATATCCAAGGGTTTGAAGAATAGTTGTGTCCCCAGTTTTACTGAAAATGATGTCCGGAAATGTCTCCAGTCTCTGAATTCATCTCAATGTTTAGGACCTGATGGTATCCCAAACCTCCTTTTTAAAAAATGTGCTGATGTTTTATGTTATCCATTAACAAATATCTTTAACAGATCCTTCTCAACTAATGTCTTACCGAAAATGTGGAGAAAGATAAAGATAATCCCTATACCTAAGAAAGCTTCTGGTGATAAAAATGCGAAACTTAGACCCATTGCAATAACCTCACCTTTCCTCAAAATAATGGAAAAATTACTGATACAACCACTTCAACCTTCAATAAAAGAGTACTGTGATCCATTTCAGTTTGCTTACAAATGCAAAAGAAGCACATTAGATGCCGTTGCTGTTCTGCATCACAATATAGTGTTCGGGTTGGAAAAGGGTAAGAAGTATGTTAGATGCGCTTTTCTGGACTTTACTTCTGCTTTTGATTCTATTCCAAGACACCTCTTACTTAACAAGCTGATTCGCATCGACACTGACAGCTGGATAATCAATTGGCTACGCTCCTACCTTTCTGGAAGAGAACAGTACACTGTATTTGAAAGAAAGTGTTCAACATCTCTACTGTCTACTGTAGGTGTGCCACAAGGAGCTGTTCTTTCACCTCTGCTCTTCTCTTTCTTTTTGCATGATCTGCCATCTTCCACAGAAAACACTTTTGTAAAATATGCGGACGACCTCACTGTATGTATGCCAATTTCTACCTCCTTACATCCTATAGAAATGAATGAGTTTTTGTCTCGTATTGAAAGGTGGTCTGTTGGTAATGGTCTCTTGCTCAATCCATCTAAATGTCAAGCTGTTAATTTTAGCTTGAGACATGGACAGAACCTATACTCTATGTTGGGATCCCATAATGCTTGTGCCATTGGAGACTCCTTAATAAACACAGTGTCGAGGGTCAAATATCTTGGTGTTACTTTTTCCTCTGATCTTTCTTGGTCTTCTCATGTTTTACTATTATCGAAAAAAGTTTACCGCTTGACATACTACATAAAGAGGCTGCATGCTTTTGGGATTACTCGCCATTTACTCTTACAATTTGTAAATTCCTGCATATTACCTATTATTTTATATTGTTCTCCATTATTCTTTCCTGGGCTTTTGAGAAAAGACTTTGCTATTTTGCGTAGAATGCTGAAGGCGGTTTGCAAGGTATGTGGTGAATCTTTTGAAGTCATTGTTAATATGCTTGTGGATAGACATCTTAAGTGTTGCAAACTCTTGGCAGGTGTTATCTTATCAGATACTAACCATCCGCTTCATTCATATCTTTCTCCTTGTATATCTTCTGGTAGAACGAGACGTAAATACATTAAAATCCATGCACGCAAGCAAATCTATAAAAGTTCTGTAATACCTTACTTAGCAAATTTACTTTGTGACGAACAGGCTGTTAGAGTTGACCTAGTAAATAACCTGTCTTCTTAAGCATGTCTCAAATTCGATAATTTGTATAAAGTCGGTTTTTCCTAGACCTTTTTTTTTTTTTTTTTTTTTGTTTTTGTTTTTTTTGTTTTTTTTTTTGTTTGTTTTTTCGGGTTTCCTTTTTTGGTAAAAAACTTGTTGAAATAACTCGTGCTGAGAATTCTATATTGTACCAGATTATAATATTGAATAAAGCCATTAATAATAATAATAATTAAGCCCATATACCATATTATAGATTCAGGACAAGCCAATTTAACTATCTATCAGGAGTCCCGTGATAAATTTGTTAATTAATTACTTATTATCCCCTACTCTTTTTTATATCAGCGTAGGTGTGTGTACACTTTTTATCCTATTTATATTACATGTCTGTGACTTATTCTTGTCTGACTATAAATATTGATTAACGCTTGATTAAAGTGAGTTGGCTTACTCGCCATCTCCAATGCGTTCCATTTTTTGTTTCACTCGTTGATATTTACTCATGTGCTTATAACTTTCTGGCCTGCATCATTTTTTAATAAAACTGTAGTTGCCACTTCTCTTCGCCTTCTGGTTTTATGCACCGTTAGGATTTGTATTATAACAGTTATCGAGGTGAACGATTAGCGAAGCATGGCATTACATATGAATGATAATTGATTAAATTCACAAATTTATTTAAACACATAAGTATTGGTACAAAGGGGCATCAGATACATATGCGGTACACAAATCAAATGAGATTTGTGTGAGGGCTGTGATACAGCGCAGGTGGTTTTCTCTGGGGGCGACGAGGTGGACGATTAGCGAAGCACGGCACTACAGACCTATATCGGACCGTTCAGTCATTTTCAGGAGGATATCTAAACAATTAGTTGATTAGCCTTAATAACCTGTATGTATATATTGGTTTATTTAGTAAATTACGAAAACAAATGAAATCAATGTGAAGTATTAATC